TGGTAAAACTTAATTCTTCTCATAGTTGTACTTGTTTGACCAATGAGGACCTTGGACATTAAGAAGGGGGATGGTGTAACCCAGACAAATATTTGTCTGGGTTACACCTAAATAATCTCCTCTGCAGGCTTTTGGCTTGTAAAGAGCACGCAGTCTTCATGGTGACATCCATCACTTCCTTTCATGCTTAAAATCTTTCCACACAATGCCTGTTGGTGGATTATGCAGAACCTCTGTGAATTAATTCTGCTTGCACAGTTCAACAAGTCCACTGGTGTGACCCACCATTGTTGGAGTGCTATCAGTTGTAATAGAACAATTTTAAAGTGGGGGCAAGTTGCTCTTATTAACGAACTACATAAATGCATTGAAAATATATTATCCACTTGAGTTCTTTCAAAGGCAAGATGGTTAGGAGCTCCTCCATGGCACTCATGTATACAAAGGCTGTTCTGATAAAAACACACAGCTGGGCCACATCCATTATACCCATTGGCTCATCAAATTGAAAAGAGAAACACAAGCATTATTCTATGTCCTTTTAAAGCTGCTCCTCCACATCCACAGTCATCCTCCCACATCGCCGTGTCACAGTATTCTGGGACAACTGCACATCTTTAATAGCAGCCACAATCTAACTTTTACTTTTAAAATGAAGGAAAAGTGCATCTGCAGACCCAATGGATGCTTCATTCATAACCTCACCATCGCTGAAAGACTTATTGTGTTGGGTCAGACTGCAGCTGTCCTGGTTTGAGGCTATTGTAGCAGCTTTACCTTTGGTTTTGGGCCAGGTGAAAATTGACTCCTGTGCTGCAAGCTTGTTTTTCAGCTCCTGAACTTCTTGTAGCATTTGTGCATGGCCTTGGAATGCCATTCCAAGTTACCCTTTGTGGACAAGGCAGTGCTTGCATTACAAATAAGACAAACAGACTTCATATTTGAGAAAACAAAAAAAATCTCCTCCCACTCTGGGTGAAAATATTTTTTTGTTTGCTTGTTAGCTCATTTGTCATCTTCTGGCGCACCAATAACTAGTGTCTTACTTGGCTTTGTTTTGAACGTGTGAATCTAAAGTTTCATGAGATAATGTTTCGAGTCAGGGTGCCCAAAAGTCATGTGACTACTGCAAACTAGACCTGGTTATGTCTCGTGAAAATTTTAAAAAGTGGCTGGGCACTTTGTCGTGAATGCAAACATTTTGTAGTATGACATATGCAGGATATATTCATACATTTCACGAGTTCTTCATTTTTCTGACTGTGTAAATGTCGTGCATTGAATTTAACAGAAATGTAACGAGAGACGTTATTTATCTTTGACCCATCAAAATGAATGCGGTCATTTATTTGCAGAATCAAAGTTTAACATCAAACATTTACATTAATTTGGCAAAATATGAAAACAATAACATGGCTAGTTTCACAGAAAGTGGGCACAATACGGCGATTGTCCTCACTTCTCAGCAGAACAGCAGACATCAATCACACGGCGGTGATTGAGAACTTTGCTTCAGATATTTCTAAAATATCTGTAATGATTTTAGGAGAAAGGAGAGTTTAAGATGGAAAATGGAGATTTATCTTACAGAGAGATGTGTGAGGGAATTAATCTGTTTGACCAGAAACGTGCACGCTCCTTCAGTTCTCAGCTTGGTCACGGTACGCTTGGTCGAAGTAGAACTTTTACCTGGTTGATGATAGATCAGCGTCGGTATAGAATCCTTCCTTTGACTCTTTCAGCGTCTCCGTTGAGAACAGCTAAAATACTTCGAGAGTCGTGCGAGGTTATCCAAACAGAAGTTATAATTCCCAAAATCGTCCCTGCATTCTGGACTCCAATAGAAGCATTCTGGACGCCTGCGTTAGCATCCAAGAACTCTGAACTCTTTAACTCTCTTCAGAGAGTTAAAGTCTGGAACTCTTCTCCAGGAAAAACTTTCAAGTTCTGAAAACTCTGTAGTGAACCTGATCTGACCCTGATCTGACCCTGATGACCTCAAATCTATCAGATGGACAGAGACTGTTATTTCATTGATCTGAATACAGTTTGAGCCATCTGGTGACTTTCCTTCTTGAATTAGTCAAGCAGAAAAGACAATTTTATAATCATCACTGTTTTACAAATGTTTGATAATCAAATTGTGTTAGTTCACTCAATGCTTACAGGTTGAAGAGAACTACTCATTTTTATTTTACATAAACAGTAAGTAATGATTTTTATTCCATTCAAAGAAGAAATCAGGTTAATATGCATTTCTTGATTTTTCTGCCTGCAATGTAAGTATGTTAAAGGTCGGTTTTCGGTCAACTAAAATGTTTACCGAGAAAGATGTCATGTTTAAACTTTTTCAGAAGATTATAAGTGTGAGACTCCACGAAGTCTGAAGTCCTACAATAATCTTTCTGTTCGTTACTAAACAATCCTTGGTTTTTAATAACATCTTACATCATACACCACGCCTCTATTCCTGGTCCATCGACCAATCAAAAGCTCTCAAATGAACCGGAAGTCGACCCATTTAAAATGTGGCAACTTCCCAGTTCAAGGGAGAATTCCAAAAAGAATTCCAGAGAATTCCAGAGGCTGAGGAGATGAAGAACTACAGAGTTGCTGGAGTTGAAAGATTCTGTTAGAGTCTGAGAAGTTCTGAAGAATGAAAGGAGTTCAGAGTTCTTGGGCGCAAACGCGTTCAGGATGATCCAGAGACGTTTTGGGATTATAATTTCTGTTTGAACACCACGTACGACTCTCTGAGGGTTTGGCAGTTCTCACGGAGACGCTGAAAAGAGTCAGAAAGGAACCTGCTCCGACGCTGATTTCATCATCAACAGGTAGAGGGTCCTATTCTCGACCAAGTGTACCGTGGGCAAGCTGATATCTGATGGAGCGTGCAATTTCTGGTCAAACAGATTAATTCCCTCACATATCTCTCTGTAAGATAAATCTCCATTTCATCTTAAAACTCTCCTCTATCTCATAAAATCAGTACAGATATTTTAGAAATATCTGAAGCAAAGTCCTCGATCACCGCCGAGTGATCGATGTCCATTTTCTGTGAAACTTGTCTGTTATTATTTTCATATTTTGCCAAATTAATGTAAATGTTTGATGTTAAATTTTGATTCTGAAAATAAATGACCGCATTCATTTTGATGGGTCAAAGATAAATAACGTCTCTCGTTACATTTCTGTTAAATTCAATGCACGACATTACACAGTCAGAAAGATGAGGAACTCGTGAATATTGTATGTATATATATCTCATATATTGTCATACTACAACTCCCATGTTGAACTCAATCTAGAGCGCACACGCAGCTGAACTGGGAAGTTGCCACATTTAAATGGGTCGGCTTCCGGTTCATTTGAGAGCTTTCTAATTGGTCGATGGACCAGAAAAGAGGTGTGGTTTGTGATGTAAGATGTTATGAAAAGTCAAGGATTGTTTTAGTGACAGACAGAAAGATTATTGGAGAACTTCAGACTTCGTGGAGTCTCTACTCCTATTATCTGCTGTAAAAGTTAAACATGACATTTCTTTTTCAGTAAACTTTTAGTTGACCGAAACTTGAACTTTAACACACACTTACAAAACTTGCTCATTGAAGACAGAAAAATCAAGAAATGCATATTAACCTGATTTCTTCTTAGAATGAGGAATAAAAATCATTACTTACTGTTTATGTAAATAAAAATGAGTAGTTCTCTTCAACCTGTAAACATTGAGTGAACTAACACAATTTGATTATCAAACATTTGTAAAATAGTAATGATCATAGAGAATTGTCATTTCTACTTGATTAATTCAAGAAAGAAAGTCTCAGGATGGGTCAAACTGTATTTCTGGATGCAGATCAATGAAATAACAGTTTCTGTCCCACAAGGTTCTTAAGGTCAAGTGTTTTGACCTTAGGCTTAGTTTGACATCAGGTTAGGTTCACTACAATTTTAAAAATGTTTTTTAAAAAAAATCCAAGTTTTCTTCTACAAGTCACACGATCGACTAGAAACCAGTCTGTGATCTACCACTAAATGTCAATCGACTGGTTGAGCACTCCTAGTGTAGATGGAAAAAAAGAAAGGGTGACAAAACACACCCTTGTGGGACTCCAGTATTCAAAACAATGCTGCTAGATTTAAAAGCATTGACCTTGACATGTTGGGGCTTGTTTGTTAAAAAAAAAATCCTTAATCCATAAAACCAAATGTGTAATAACTTGCTGTGCTTGAAGGCAATGGAGAAGAGTATTTATATTTACTGTACTAAAGGCAGATGAAAAACCCATCAATAAATCCTCACATAAAAGTTACAGGAGTCCAGATGCTTTGCCACTGTGTCCAGTAGGGTTAGGCTGGCATTCGCAACCTCTCGCTGTGACCTATAGGCAAACTGTAATGAATCCAAGCTCACCCTCACCATAGTAATAAGATCCTCCACCATCACCTGTTCCATGAACTTGCAGAGGATGGAGTTGAATGCCACAGGTCTAAAGTCATTCATGGCTTTTGCACACGTCTTGTTAAGAATAGGGATACTAGTTGTCTCCTTCCATGTTCTAGGGACAAAGCTTAATGTCAAAATCATCTGAAAGAGCTGTGCTACCACATGAGCTATAGGCTGCACACTCCTTCAGCAATTGTCCCTTGAGCCCATCGGGACCAGGGGCTTTCTTGGGATGTATCTTTGACAGGATTGAAACAACCCGACTCCCCTACCATGATTGGAGTAGGGTCAGGGCTGTTAGGGGTCCAGTGTACTGTAGCTGCAGTGTTGTTGAACTTAGCGTTAAAGGTGTTGAGCAAAAGAAATGGGCTCTAGACACTATCTCTGCTGGACTCAGTGCTCTATGGATCATGCTTTTAAGATTTTGTCATGCCTCCTTTACATTACCCCTGGAGAACCTTTCCTCAATCTCATCTTTGTAGTGGAGCTACATTAACTTCACACTTTAAAAGCTTTAAAAAGTTTTCTTGGTGCTTTTACTTTCCAGGATTCAAGCTCATCCTCTTCATCTTCTTCATCCTCTGACAGTGAAGATGAGACAAAGAAAAAGAAAAAGAAGAAGAAAAAGAAGGTAAAACGTAACATTTTATTTTTTGCAGAAATTTTTCATGTTTCATTCATTCATTCATTCATTCAACCTTTAACCATTTAAACAGATAAATCACATAGAGCCTCGAAGACTCATTTACAAGTTAGACCTGTTTGGACAGACAATAAATAGTGAAAGTGAAAAAAAAAAATCCTAACATGCTCTTAATCTTTGTCTGAAGATTAAAAGCATGAAAATGAAGGGAAAAAAATAAATAAAAAAACCTTGCACACAAGCACATAATGACGCTGACATTCTGCAGCCCCCTACCATCTACAGAATGTCAGCGCAAGGGTGGTGAGCATGTCCAGAGGCAACACACAGAGGCACTGCACACAGTTCCTCTGGAAATATCCGTACACTCTTGGTGGGTGCCGAGGACGGCCAAGGACGATGTCAGATACAATCCAAAGAGTCCTGAAATGATGATAGGATGTTTATTCAGCCGGGCCCATCTGATTGGTCCATAGACTTCCTCAGATGGGGGGGTGGGGTGGGGTAGGGGCAGAGCATCAAGGTTTACAGAGCTTACAGGCGAATTAAGATGCCAAATGTTCCAGGCAAATGTTTTCAGTCTTGGGTTCTCGTTTTTCATCATTTTGTTTTGCACTCTTCCCCTCAGCTGAATCAAATCAAATCAAATCAAATGACTGATTGATCTCATTTCTAGAGCTCCAGCTCATCTGATGAAAGTTCCTCATCTTCCTCATCCTCTTCTTCCTCTGACAGTGATGACAAGGTAAGACATACAGCTGTAAGCAGACAAAGTGTTCTGTAGTATTTCAATTATCTGCACATTTTTTATTTATAGAAGAAAAAGAAAGACAAGAAAAAGAAGAAGAAAAAAAAGGTAGAAATTTTTGTCTTTTTATTCAAATATCCTCATTGAGATTTTTGACAACTATGAAGAACTCGTCTGTTTATTTTTCCAGGATTCTTCATCTTCATCTTCTTCTTCATCCAGTGATTCTTCAAGTGATGATGAGAAGAAGAAAAAGAAGAAGAAAAAAAAGATGAAGGATAAGAAAAAGAAGGTAAAATGGTTTTATCTTTTCATTTTTTTCCCATATTTTTGTCCACATTTATTCATAAAAACTAATAAAAAATTGCAACGTAAAACATTATTGCTGTTTTTTTTCTCCAGGATTCATCTTCCTCTTCATCCAGTGATTCTTCAAGTGATGATGAGAAGAAGAAAAAGAAGAAAATGAAAAAGAAGAAGACGAAGAAAAAGGATAAGAAAAAGAAAAAGAAGGTAAAATGGTTTTATCTTATGTTTAAATATCACATTTATTTATAAAAACGTTGGTTACATACTGTAACCCCAGATTCTATGAGAATAGGCATGGCCTTTAAGGCTGTTGCTGGTGGGTTTATCCCTAAGGCGCTCAGCTCTGCACTGAAAACTTTAGTCCACGCCCACCTGCTGTGTGGGCCTCACCCCCGGTCCGTATAAATTACGATGAGACGGGAATCTGCTCCCAAATAGCGTTTTCTTCAGCCATTTAAGAACCAGTGAGGCCCAGCGCTTAAAGGGCTACGCCTATACTCATAAAATCTGGGGTTACAGTACGTAACCAATGTTTTATTTCATATAGTCTTCACCCTTTAAGGCTGTCGCTGGTGGGTTAAAGGTGAAGCAGGATGTAGTCTATGCATCACTGGGTTCACACAGACACAACATGAAGCACCTGCTTGCACAAAAAAAAAAAAAAATCATCACTCAGCCTTCTGTGTGTGTAATTACGCGCTGCGTAATTGCATGCTCCATGCGCAGGAGCGCACCGGAGAAAGATCTCTGGTGAGGAAAAAAGGCTGAGATAGCAGACCTGCTGCTGTGAATAGGAACAACACAGGTTACAAATTGTAACAGTGTAACGATAAACAGAGCAGACCAACAGCTCCTCAGGATGAACCGGTTAATAACAATAAAATCAGCAGTCATGAACTTGTGACTGATAATAAATATCTCACACTGCGACTACATGCAGGCAGGTGAGCTCAAACGTGAGGCTCCATGAAACAAATAATCATTCTGTCATAACCCTGAGAACAGAATGGGTCATGGAGAAAGTAGAAACATCACATAGATAAAAACAAATAATTGAAAATGGCGATGATCAGGCAGCCGCCATACAAATAATTCTCCACCGTCATCCCTCCATGCAGAGCCATGGAGGATGAGAACCCTCTGGTGGAATGCACTGATATTCTCTGGAGGATTCAGTCCAGATGAACTGTAAGCTTCAGAAATAGCCTCACACAACCAGTGTGAGAGGCGCTGGGTGGATAGAGGAGCCTGATCTAAAAACTCAGAATGAGCTTTGATCAGAGCGTGCAGGACCATCATTAGGTCTCACGGTGAAGCTAGTGGACGTGACACTGGTCAGCAGCAACATGATATGGTTTTTCACAGTGATTATTCTAGTTAGAGATTCATGAGTCTAACAGCCTCAGGGTAGAATCTGTTCCTCAGTCTAGTGGTTCTACACTTAATGATCCTCAACCTCCTTCCTGAGGGGAGCGGGGCAAAAAGTGTGTGTGCTGGGTGAGTGGAGTCTTTCATGTTGCAGGAGGTCCTCTTCCTGCATCTGGAGGTGTAAATGTCTGTGATGGTGGGGAGACTGACTCCAACAGACTTCTGTGCAGCCTTCACCACTCTCTGCAAAGCTTTTCTTTCTGCAGCTGTGCAGCCTCCATGCCACACATTGATGCTCGAGCACAGGATGCTCTCCACTGCACACCTGTAGAAGGAGGTGAGGACTGAGCTTCCCAGACCAGCTCCCCTCAGCCGCCTGAGGAAGTAGAGTCTCTGATGAGCTTTCTTGATCAGGCTGGTGGTGTTGTTGCTCCAGCTGAGGTTGTCATTCATGTGTACACCCAAGTACTTGTAGCTGGAGACCACGTCAACCGCAGATCCTCTTATGTTCAGGGGGATGTAGGTGTGTTTGTTCCTTCTGAATTCCACAATCATCTCCTTTGTCTTCTTCATATTGATGTGAAGGTTTTTCTCTTTGCACCAGCTCTCCAGGTGTTCCACCTCTTGCCTGTAGCTGGACTCATCATTGTTTGTGAAGCATCCCACCACTATCTGCAAACTTTACAATATGACAGCCTGGATGTGTAGCGACACAATCATATGTGAGCAGAGTAAACAGGAGAGGGCTCAACACATCCCTGAGGAGAGCCAGTGCTGTGGGTTATGATGGAGGAGGAGAAGTTGTGGCTCCTCACTGACTGTGGTCTGTTTGTTAAGAAGTCTAGTACCCAGATGAAAATGGAGGGGCTTAGTCCTAGTGTGAATAGTTTGGCCATCAGGGTTTGGGGGATCATGGTGTTGAATGCAGATGTGAATTCCACAAAGAGCATACAGATGTAAGAGTTTTTCTGCTCCAGGTGGTTGAGCGCAGTGTGGACCACAGAGGAGATGGCATCTTCTGTTGATCGGTTCTCACGGTATGCATACTGATGAGGGTCCTCGTTGATGTTAATGGTTTTTTTGATGCGAGTCATGACCAGTAATCTGCCGTCACTTGTTGTGTGTGTGTGTATCCGAAAATGCTGATCTCGCAGCAGGGGCATATGCTGAGTCACGTTTCAGACCGTGAAATAAACATTCTAGTGAAGCGACATGTGGTCCAGCCACTGTGATCCCACTGCTTGGGACAGACACATTCCTCCCAGCTTGACAGGAGCGCGTCTGTGAAAAACTGAGACGTGTGATGTAGGCCTGCTGATGGGAACTCCCTCTGACAGAATGAGTGGGTTTCCCCAGTGATTCAGATCGTTTCTCACGGAGGGGGGCACAAAGATAATCCACCTCTTCTGCGCACAGGATCTATGCACAGGCGGGCGGACCATCTCTGAAGGCGTCTCATGTAAAGTAGGCCCAACGGAACCATGATGTGGGCCGCTGACATCGTCCCAGGCGTCGCATGACAGGCAGAAATGTCACTATGCTGCAGGGTTTGACACGGCGGAGCTGGGTTTGACACAGTGGAGCTGAGCTGACAGAGCTTTGGCTCTCAGCTGTGATAAATGGCTCTCATTGTAGTTGAGTTAGCTCCACTTCCAGATAAACAATCATGTGGGACGGACGAACAGAAGTTTTCCCAGTTTATAGAAACCCCAGGTTTAGCAGGTGTAACACTAGTGTTTTGGTATGTGCGACAGCTTTCTAACTGGACCGAGTTAATAAGAGCAGATCGTCCAGATAAAAAGATTTCTCATTCCTGCCATGTGTAACGACTGCAGAGCCATCTCCACGCATTTTGAGAACGTGCATGGGGTGTTTCAGAATGATGGAAATGTGAAAATATGTACTCTTCAGATCTATGAAGGTGAAAACCAGTAGTTCTGGTGAAGTTCTCCAGCAGCTGTTGGGAGCTCTGGAAAGCATGTTTTTCGTCAGAAATTCCTGAACTTCTGACTGGAGAGACGAGCTCTGTTCTGGAGAAGACAGAACCGTCTCTATAATCCCTCTGAATGGTGGGGGTTGAGCTGCGAACTGCAGCGTGTAACCCCTTCTGATCAGATGGTCGTCCATCTGTCCAGGGAACACCATCGTTGCCACTCTGAGTAGCGCTTAGAGAGCGGGCACGCATTTGTGTTGTGTCATGTTTCTCATGAAGGTCAACCAGACTAAAAATCCTTACTGCCATCACTCGTTCCGGAGATTCTCTAGGGGAACCCAATGGGGGCTCTGACAGAAAAAAGGCTGTATGTGTGCCTCTGTGCTGGGTCCAGGCTGTGGTCTCACATAGAGCTGAGGTGAGCCGGCGCGCACCGAGAGGAGGCGTGAGCGTTTTCTGAGTGAGACACCGTTTCGGTGGAGGCTGCAGCTGTCGTGGGGAAACATGTTTACTCCCGCTGCGCTGTGAGTGGGCAGAAAAACAGCAGAAATTAAAAATGGGCTCTGGCTGAAAAACAAGGGATTTTTTTCCAGACTCGGTCTGCTGAAAAAACATCATTTTAGCTGACGTGGCAGACGAGTGTTTTGTGATATTTACTGTTTAGAGATTACTGGTTTGTTCTGTGTGGGGAATGTGTGAAGAGAGGCAGCTGTGAGCTCAGCTGATCTGACAGTCTCAGATGAACAACTTTCAGAGGTGTTTCTGTTTATATCAAAAACATACATCATCAATAAAAACACATACCTTCCCCTCAAGGATCTGTTGCCTGGTGGAGGGGGCCCGCGGGGCGTGAAGTCGCTGCTGTAGCTGTGGCGCTCCTCTGGTGCTGTTGCTGGCCAAGGCGGTCCCTCCAGTGGCCGTAGGGGCAGATGGACTGTGACGTCACCAGATGGTGTACAGTCTCTGAGACCTCCTTGGACCTCTGTAATTCCTCAAGGATGGTCCTGAAGTTGGCCTCGAACAGCGCCTCTGGGGTGATGTGGCCCTCCAGCAGGCCTTTCTGCAGCCTCTCTGACAAGGATGGTGAGAGGCGGAGCCAAGTGGTCCTCTGGATCATGGTCATCCAGGTGGCGATGCAGGACAGGCAAATCGCAGAGGTGGCACATGTTTAAGATGACATCAGCAGCTTTACAGAGAGAGCTCTTTGTCTCTGCCAGCAGGTCTGCTTCCTCCAGCCTCTTAGAGATGCTGTAGGCCAGCAGGGCGAAGTTGTTGTTCGCTGCGGCCATCTGGAATGAGCACTGGTGAGCTCGGTTGGGGACCTTGTCACCATCTGGTCATGCTTCCCTGGAGGGACAGGTTGCTGGTCCATCCTGGAAGCTTTTGCCCCAAGTGCCACCACCAGGCTTGGCTCCAGTGGGGGAGGGGGACCGAGGGAAAACCACCGATCGGGAAAACCATCTATCAGTAAAACCACCGATTGGTAAAACCCTCCACTCTGGAGATGGAGGTGAAGATGGAGACAGCTGTCTTCAGCTTGCCAGCCCAGCTACAGCCTCGTTCCAGTGTGACGTCACAGCTGGACAGCGAGGCCAGATGGGGTCAGGGCGACGAGCCCGGGTAGAGCCAACTTTGCCACCAGATCATCTGATCAGGGCAGGGGGAGGTGAGGGACGGAAGGTCCCTTGTGTTAACATCCTCCTGCATTATGCCGGGTAGCTCTGAGGAGGGCACCGATGGCTGGGAGTGGTGTGGTCGCCGACGTGGGAAGATCCAAGGTGGCTGAGCATCCGTTCGGCCACTCGTCTTCCGTCACTACGCTCTCCAAGAGGGAAGGGGCAGCTCCGCATCGCCTTTCTCGGAGAAGTCATTCGATTCACTGCGTGACTCTGCATCAAAGAAGGCGGTGGCGTCGTCCCACCACAGAAAAAAAAAAAACACTCATCGGAGCTGCTGCCAACAACGCCTTTTCCGAGGGAATCATCCGATTTACCTCAAGAAAAAACATGTTAGAAAAGGCGGTGGCGTCGTCCAGTGAGTAGCGGCCCCCCACAGAAAAACATTTGGCGGGGCTGCTGCTAGCATTGCCTTTGAGGGAATCATTTGATTACTGCGAGGAAAAAATACGTTAGAAAAGGCGATAGAGTTGTCCAGCGGGTAGCAGCCTGCCACAGAAAAGCACTCCTCGGTGCTTACCTTGAACAAGGCTGCTCGTCTGCTTCTCCTCAGGGAGGAAGAGCTCACCAAGACGGCAGGAGGTTGGCGTGGCGGAGATCCAGGCATCCTTAGCAAAGGTTGTGCCGGTCAAAGCTGGACAACTTTCCTTCTTCGTTCTTCTGACAGTGCTAGCTATCTGGCTGAAGAAAAAAATGGGAGCCGATTCCCGGTCTCACCATAATTTATACAGACCGCGGGTGAGGCCCACACAGCAGGTGGGCGTGGACTAAAGTTTTCAGTGCAGAGCTGAGCGCCTTAGGGATAAACCCACCAGCGACAGCCTTAAAGGGCGAAGCCTATACGAAATATAACTATCAAAAAATAGAAATGCAAAACCTCACCATCCATCATCTGTTTTTTTCTCCAGGATTCATCTTCCTCTTCATCCAGTGATTCTTCAAGTGATGATGAGAAAAAGAAGAAGAAGAAGAAGAAGAAGAAGAAGAAGAAGAAGGATAAGAAAAAGAAAAAGAAGGTACAATGTTTTTATCTTTTCATGTCTAATTAATTTTTTTCAATTATTTTGTCCCAAGAACCACGTCTCCACGGCAGCAGGGCTCCAGGTGTGGATGAGATTCACCCTGATTTCCTTAAGGGTGGATTGCTCTCTTTGGCTCGAGGGTGAGGTTCTGCCTCAAGTGGAGTTCAAGTATCTTGGGGTTTTGTTCAGTAGAGGAAGGGATAATTTTGATAAAAATTTGTTATGAATTTTATTCTGAAGGGGCACCACTCTCAAACTTTGAGAGAAAAAGTCTGAACATCAGCCTCAGATATTATTGTGTAATTACCTCAAATCAACCTCTTTAAAGTGAGTTCTTTTACATGAAAGCTTCGAATGTCATAAAAAACACACGCTTAAGCGTACAATTTTTTTTTTACTTCCATTTGGCTATATATGGGCAAATAACTATTGGAAATTATTGCTTACATTTAAATGATGACTTCAATCAACCTTTATTTAGACAGGTAAATCCCATTGAGCCTACTTTGTTTAACAACCGGAGTTTATGGAAATTAACTTGACCTTTAAAATACTTGCTAGCAGAAATTAACAGGTAAAATGAAATTATTCGATGTGATTACCCAAACACGGGCAGCACGGTGGCGCAACGGGTAGAGCTGCTGCCTCTCAGCGAGCAGGTCCTTGGTTCAAACCCCAGTCCAGGGGCCTTTCTGGGTGGAGTTTGCATGTTCTCTCCGTGCATGCGTGGGTTTTCTCCGGGTACTCTGGTTTCCTCCCACAGACCAAAAACATGCATGTTAGGCTGATTGGTAACTCTAAATTGTCCCTAGGTGTGAGTGAGAGAGTGAATGGTTGTTTGTCTCGTTTGTCTCTATGTGGCCCTGTGATGGACTTGCGACCCGTCCAGGTTGTACCCCGCCCCTTGCACAGTGATTGCTGGACATGGGCACCAGCGACCCCCGTGACCCAAAAATGAAATAAACGGGTAAAGATAATGGATGGATGGATGGATGGATTACCCAAACCAAAATGAGATGGAATAAAAGTAAATGTAATATTCTGAAACTTTCAGCAGGGCAAATTAACAATACAAATTTAACCAAAGGAAAATGCTTTGTTTACCAATGATTAAATTTGGATCTTAAATTTAAGGAAAAATAATTACTGAACTGAGTTAATACTAATTTGGTTGAAATCTAAATTTAAGGACAACAGGCATCACATCCCAGAGTAAATCAGTTTCTCCTACCGGGAGCAATATTCAAACGACTGCAGTAGATACCAGAGAGACTCTTTCTCTGCTGAGATGGTCAGAGCGACGTCAAAGGTGGAGATTCCTTTCACATCCCTGGGCATCGGTTGAGGAGTCTGGATCCCTGGTTCTGAGTGGTCAGCCAACGCTTCTCCGGGAGTTCTGGGTCGCTGTTATTAGCTCTGGTGATGCAGCTGCAAGTATCTCTGCTTTGGATCGCCGAAAGATAGTTCCATCAAACTTGGCTAAAATGGAAACTTTCTATTTTATAATGAAGCTGTCTGTAGGTTGTTTGACTTCTAAAATCTTACTACTCCTTGGAGATCTTTTTCTTTCTTTCATTCTCGTCCGTCGACTTCTCAGGGTCCCTGTAAACAACTTTTTAACAACCACCTACAACTCTGAAGGGGCATGATCAACCCACCCAATCAAGAACATTTCAACAACAATCAATAAACATCAAACATTTTGTTGCTTCTAGTTCATTATTTGGCACAGTTACTAATGGAAAATCAGCCACTTCACTTAATAACCAAACTTCTACAAATCAAATCCCTCCTACAAGTCAATTCTCAGTTAATCACACCTTCTCTTTTTCTCCGTTCTCATTTAGTGAGATAAATAAACTGTTAAAGGTCTTGATCCTAAAAAATCTGCAGGACCACATGAACTTCCACCTTATTTCTTAAGGCTGGCTGCTCATATAATCGCAGTCCCTGTGACCCACATCTTTAATATTTCCATAAACCAAAACTCCTTCCCAGACGCTTGGAAAACAGCCTTTGTTCTTCCTTTGCTGAAGGGAGGTGACCCCACCTCACTGAACAACTATCGGCCAATCTCTAAACTCTGCATTTTAGACAAGGTTCTAGAAAAACTGATAAACTCTCAAATCAAAAATTACCTGGACTTATTTAACATCTTACCTCACCATCAGTCAGGCTTCAGGAAACAACACAGCACAACCACTGCTTCACTGAAGGCTTTTAATGACATTGTTGAAGCACTGGATGCTAAGGATTATTGTGCTGCACTTTTTCTTAGACCTGTCTAAAGCTTTTGACACTGTGGATCATAACATCTTCTGTCATAAGCTCTCAGAAATCGGTTTCTCAGATCACACCATTGGCTGGTTCTCTAACTATCTCTCAGACCGGAAGCAATGTGTTCAACATAATGGTACTTCCTCCAGTTATTTAACAGTCAACAATGGTGTATCACAAGGCTCAGTCTTAGGACCCACCCTCTTTACAATCTACATAGGTAATGTGGGTCAGAGCATCCTTGACACATCCTTACATTTCTATGCTGATAACACAGTTGTTTATTGTTGAACTAAAACAGTTGAAAAGGCTTTCCAGCTTTTGCAATCTGCATTTGGCATCACCCAGTCAAATTTGTTCCACCTCAAACTTGTCTTAAACGCTGATAAAACCAAAGTTTTTTTTTTTTCAAATAGGAAGTTGGTCCCAGCAGTTCTTCCTCTGATTTCATCCTCAAATCTTGTCCCGATTGAGTTTGTCGATTCCTATAAATATTTGGGTCTTGGTCGACTCGCATCTCTCTTTTAAGCTCCATGTGGAAAAAATAGTAAAGAAACTGAAAGTTAAACTGGGTTACTTTCTCAGAAACAGATCCTGTCTAACTCTGAATGCTAGGAAACGCCTTGTAACTGTGACTTTCCTTCCCTCCCTTGATCACGGTGACATTATTTATGTGAACGCTCTTACAAGAACCCTGCAGATGTTGGATGCTGTCTATCATGGTGCGCTAAGATTCATAACTGGCTGTGATTATCATACCCACCACTGCACCCTGTATTCACTGGTTAACTGGTCATCATTAACTTCACACAGACTCTCCCACTGGTACATTTTCATCGTTAAATCATTTCTTGGTCTGCTGCCTTCATACATCTCCTCCTACATGTCTCTGTGTGAGTGCATCTACAGTGTGCGCTCTGTGGACATTATTACCTGCAGTGTTCCCTCAGTGAGGACTGAACATGGCAAAAGGGCCTTCTCCTACTCCTCTCCTGTTTCCTGGAATATCTTACAAAAAGATCTGAAGCTCTCGACCATGACCTCTCTAAGTGGCTTTAAGAATCTTTTGGGACTACTGGCAAGAACCAATGCAGACATATTCCTGTTTTTAGTTTTCTACATTCGCCTTATAATCTAGCTGTTTTTGTTACTTTTTTTGCCATCTTATTTGTATAAAAAAAAATCTGTATGCCTTTTTCTAACTGTCTATTGTTGTCACTGTTGTCCATTGTTGTCATCATTCTTTGTTGAAATCAGGTCTCTCTTGTAAACGAGTCCTCAAGGCTCAATGGGATTTACCTGTCTAAATAAAGGTTGAATGAAAAAAGAAAGAGGCGTGGAATTAAGACTTAATTTGGCTTAACTTTTACCAATTTAAGCATTACCTTAATTCACTCTGCTGAAAAGTCCTCAAATAAAAGAAATGCAAAACACTTCTTTCATCTTTCTTTAAGTGAGATTAAATCAATAAAAACACTTTTGTTAAACTTGTGAACAGTAAAACAAGTTTGCCATCTTTTGGCTACAGATTCTTTTCAGCTGTAAAAGAAAAACAAGGCAAGTTATTAGTTATTCCCAGTAAATAATTATTTCATTACAGAAAAACATTGATTTTCCCATAATATGAATGGAAAGTCTGTCCATTCTTCTAAATGGAGCAGGGGAACTGTGGGTGACAGAAATAAATAATGAGAGTGATGTATGACCCTACATTTACGAGTGAGGGAAGAATAGAGCGTGAGATTGACAGAGATTGGTGCAGCGTCTGCAGTATTGTGAACTCTGTGCCAGTCTGTTTTTGGTGGAGAGGGAGCTGAGCTGTAATGCAAAGCTCTCCGTTTACCAGTTGGTCTACATTCCTACCCTCACCTATGGTCATGAGCTCTGGGTAGTGACAGAAAGAACGAGATTGCGGATACAGGAGGTTGAAATGAGTTTCCTCCTCAGGGTAGCTAAACTCTCCCTTAGAGATAGGGTGAGAAGTTTAGTTATCCAGAAGATACTCTGTGTAGAACTGCTGCTCCTTCACATCCAGAAGAGCCAGTTGAGGTGGTTCGGGCATATGATAAGTATGCTCCCTGGGTGACACCCTAGGGAGGTGCTTTGGGCATTTCCAACTGGGAGGACACCCCAGGGAAGACGCAGGACATTCTGGAGAGACTATGTCTCTTGAAAACAAAAAAAAAGTCCATACTCAATAATCCAGGTATACAATCCAACAATTTTCAGTCAGGTCATCTGGACAGTTTCTTTTTCTTTTTTTTTTCTGAAACGTTTCACCTTCTATCTAGAAGGCTTCATAAGTCAAGGAAACACACAACACAAAACTGATTCTTCCCCCAAACAGCTTACTCCAAAGTGGAACAAACCAGTTATGTTGGTGCTTAGATGGTGTCTTTGGCACGCCCCCTCCTCTTGTGCCGGCCCTCTTCCTCATCAACAATCATGTCAAACTGGTTCAAAACCAAAAAAAGTCCATGCTCAATAACCCAGGTATGCAATCCAACAATTTTCAGTCAGGTCATCTGGACAGTTGACTGTCCAGATGACCTGACTGAAAATTGTTGGACTATGTATCTTGGTTTGTCTGGGGTCCATGGGGTCCTCCCAGAAAAGCTGGAAGAGGTGGCTGTGGAAAGAGATGTCTGGACCTCCCTGCTCAAGCTGCTACCCCCGCAAACCGACTTTGAAACAAGCGAAAGATAATGAATGGACGGATGGATGGATTTTTGTCCACATTTATTAATAAAATATATTCAAAAATTGTAATGTAGAACTTCAACATCTATCATCACTGTTTTTCTCCAGGATTCTTCTTCCTCTTCATCCAGTGATTCTTCAAGTGATAATGAGAAGAAGAAGAAGAAGAAGAAGAAGAAGAAAAAGAAGAAGAAGAAAAAGGATAAGAAGAAGAAAAAGAAGGTAAAATGGTTTATATTTTTACATGTTTAATGATTTCATATTTTCGTACACATTTATTCATCAAAACTAAACTGGTATGGCCAAAAAAAAAAGTCAGCACCAAAAAAAAAGGTCACACTAATATTTTGTTGGACCACCTTTAGCTTTTATTTCAGCATGCATTCACTGTGACATTGTTTCGATAAGCTTCTGCAATGTCACATGATCTATTTCCATCCAGTGTTGCATTAATTTTTCACCAATATCTTGCATTGATGACTAGGCACAGGCATGATGGATGCATCACTTCACCTGCCTCTCTTCTTACCCTGATGCACCCATCACTCTGGAACAGGGTAAATCTGGACTCAGACCACATGACCTTCCTCCATTGCTCTAGAGTCCAATCTTTATGCTCCTAGCAAATTGAAGCCTTTTTTTCCCAGTTAGCCTCACTGATTAGTGGTTTTCTTAAGGCTAAACAGCTGTTCAGTCCCAATCCCTTGCGTTCCCTTCACATTGTGCGTGTGGAAATGCTCTTACTTTCACTATTACACATAGCCCTGAGTGCTACTGTTGTTTTTGTTCAATTTAATTTCACCAAAAGTTTAAGTGATCGCCGATCACGATCATTCAGGATTTTTTTCCGGCCACATTTCTTCCTCGAAGAGGATGAGTCCCTACTATTCTTCTAGTTTTTAATAATGTATTGGACAGTTCTTAACCCAATTTTAGTAGTTTCTGCAATCTTCTTAGATGCTTTCTCTGCTGGATGCCAATGATTTGACTCTTCTCAAACAAACTGACATCTTTTCCACGACCATGCGATGTGTCTTTTGACATGGTTGTTTAAGAAATGAGAGGCAACTCATTGCACCAGTTGGGGTTAAAAAACTTGTTGTCAGCTGAAAGATAATTGCCCATGCAGTAATTATCCAATAGGAGGCTCGTACATATTTGCTTAGTTAAATCCAGGTGGCAACTTTTTTTTTTGGCCAGGCAGTGTATTAAAAAATTGTAATGTAGAACCTCGATCCATCATCACAGTTTTTTTCTCCAGTATTCTTCTTCATCTAATGATTCTTCAAGTGACAATGAGAAGAAGAAGAAAAAGAAGAAGAAGGATAAGAAGAAGAAAAAGAAATACAAGAAAAAGGTATATTAGACATGGTTAGCGCCCCCCCCCCCCCGAAAAAAAAAATCCTCGTTGTTGACATTCTAAAAGTTAAAGTTGAGTAACGTTGTATGTTTTAGTCCAAGGACTCATATTCTTCTAGTAATGATGATGACAAGAAGAAGAAAGACAAGAAGAAGAAGGTTGGTATAGAGCGATGATGCAATTTACATTTCTTGTCAAAGTGTGTTTTTGAGTCAGTGAGTGTTACTGGTTTTGTGTGTGAGCAGGACTCCAGCTCCAGTACTTCCAGCGACAGTGACAAGGAAAATAAGGGAAAAAAGAACAAGAAGACACAGGTCAAGAAATACTCAATACTCAATAAATAAATATTGCCACTTTATGTCCCCCGGTTTCCCTGCTTTCCTTCCCAGAGTTTACATTACGCATGGGTAAAATAAGGCCTGGGGGCCAAAAAAGGCCCTCAAGCAATCTCAATCTCAACATTGTCACACAAAAATAAAACTGGAAATAAATCCATGAAACCATCTAGTGATGGCCTTTATTTTACCACGTAGGTAAATTAAGAACCATTTCTCTTTACAGTGATGACCTGGCCTTGAATTTAGTCATGGCTGATGAAGAAAGTTAAAACACAGTCTACTTATTACCCTTTAACCAGATTGTAAATTAACGCTTTTTGACTGCAGTTTTCAGTTGTGCTGATGGATCTGTCAAAAAAAAACAAAAAACAATACTGGGTACGTTTTAGCCAAGAGTTGATGACACAATCATTAGTTCACAGGCACTGTAATTATTATGTCACAAAAGTACAGTTGTATTAGGATTAAGCATGAAACTTAACTATTTTTTAGCAAAAAAAAAAAAAAAAAAAAGAGTCTGCAAGGGCCTTTCATCATTTCTGCCTGAAGGAATATTAACAGTCAAGAAAAATGTGGCAAATGTCAGTTTTACATTGCTATGTGAAGAAAACTACATTTTTGCAGATGATGTGATGTTCTATATGATAAGTGCAGGTAGCACACTGTCTTTATGTTTCCATTCCCTTTTCCCACCATGGTTTAGAATCAGCAGGTAGTAAGATCCCCTTTACTCTGATTAATGACGTAGCTGGGGTGCTGTAAATTTGGAAAATCTTCAGTTTGAAGGCAATGATGATGCTAATACAATTACCAAACTGGTTTTCTCCGTCTAATTTCCACATCCCAGAAAAGCTCTCCTGCACCCTGACCATTTTCTATTCATCAGCAGCACATTCCCACAATGAAACTTATCCACAAGAAAACCATGAGCTGGGCATCACCTTGGTATGACTGTTGGGTTGTGTCAAGATGCAGCTAGAACATTACACATTGCTAGCTAGCACAAAGCTATTTAAAAAATAAAAAATAAATTTTTTTTGGTACTCTATTAATCTCCAATGAGGAAATTATCAAGAGATCACAGATTATTTCCATGCAGATGGAAACACATTTTGGGAGATTTCTGGGCCTCCACAATCAGTTTCAGTCTTTCTGCAAAGAAAAAGAAAATCTGAGCAGTCTCAAACAAATTCATCCTCCTCCAGCAGATCTGACCTAGATGAGACAGGATTGTTGCTTTGCATCCAAAAGGTGAATAAAGGAGAGTCTGAGATATTTATTGGTACAAAAAAAGCAATGATAAGTCATTGGAGCTGCACAGTGAAAGTATGGTGAAAGCATGGCTGGATTCTAGTGGCTGAAGCCAGTGCTTAATTTGTAAACCAAACGATCCTGGAACACAAATGGGTGGGTGGAGGGCGTTGGTCTGGGGGTCCTCCCCAGAATTTTTTGAATAAAGTAGATGTCATTTCCTGCATTCTGGTGTATTTTAACAGGTTGTTAAACATCTATGTTTACCTATATTTGTAAACATTTGATTCAGTAATTATTCTAGAGAGCAATAAGATGTAGCCTTACCAACAGCCCTCCTTGTGTGAATAGAGCACGCTTTGCTTCTCTCAAGCATCCTCATACCTGCTCCAGTATCTCCATTGCCACTGCCTTCAGGTGCTTCAATTCTCGGTTGTTTAGTTGTACGAGAAGACTTTTTTTTTTTTATGAAAGTAAATTAGACTGTCTTTTTGACATTTTGATTGCTGTTATTTTGACAAATTGGCACAATTGTTTTTGATACGTGATGTAGCTACGCAATGCGATTACCCTTCAAACATTTCTCTCATATTTTTAATAAATAAATTACATTTTATGAATGACTTACTTAAACTGTAAAACTGATTTTGCAATTTAGTTGTGCTGTTTAATTATATTTTTTTATAATTAAATTACTCATGACTACTTTTAGGGGCAGAGATTTTATTAAGGGTAGAAGTTGAAATGCTTACTTAAAGGGGCAGCTCGTATCCATCCATCCATCCATCCATCCATTATCTTTACCCGCTTATTCCATTTTGGGTCACGGGGGTCGCTGGTGCCCATGTCCAGCAATCACTGTGCGAGGGGCGGGGTACACCTTGGACAGGTCGCAGTCCAACACAGGGCCACATAGAGACAAACGAGACAAACAACCATTCACTCTCTCACTCACACCTAGGGACAATTTAGAGTTACCAATCAGCCTAACATGCATGTTTTTGGTCTGTGGGAGGAAACCGGAGCCAGCTCGTATGTGATATTAAAATAACTTGTAAGTTGATGTTATGCTTAAATTTAGTGCTTATTTAATTATTTTCAGATTACATGTCCAATATAGGTTTTATTAGTTCAAGGCAGTCACATTTGTTCATAATTGTATTATTAGTAAGCCTGAGAGTAACCGGATCCAAGCAAACAGTTACCAGGACACACCCTGTCAAAATAAGAGAGTTCCCAGATCATATTCTGGCAGGATCTGGCTCAAATTAAGACCTGCTTGTAGCAAGAGTGACCATGGTACACAATGTGCATACCAGCTATGCCACCAAGAGTGTTGCAAAGACTTCATTGAAACACTGCCATCACAATACCCCAGTATCCATCTAAGACCCTAACATGCTCACGGCATGTCAAAAAACCACCACAACCTTTCTATGAAAGTGTCAGTCATGGTCAAAGTCATCAGTGATGTACCACACACACATCATCATGGAGTCCACTGTGTTCTAAATTCACTACTGAAGACTGCCAGGACTCTGCACAGACAATTTACATGCTAGCTGGCTTTTCTTAAATGTCATAGTTAAGTCATCACCCAGTGTTAGGAAGACCTAAGGATGAAAATGGTAAGTGTGCTCCATCTTCAACTTCTGCTGCTTATCCGTGGTTGGGTTGCAGGTAACAGGTCCAGGAAAGAAACCCAGACATCCCTCTCTCTCCCCAGCGACACTCTCCAGCTCCTCCTGGGGGACCCCAAGGCATTTCCAGACCAGAGAAGATATGCAATCCCTCCAGCAGATTCTGTGCCTAACCCAAGGCCTCTTCTTGGGACATACCCAAAATATCTCTAAAGGGAGTTTGTCCTGGAGGCATCCTCATCAGATGCCCGAACCACTGAAACTGATTGCTTTTGTTGTGAAGAAGCAGCGGCTCTACTCTGAGCTCCCCTTGAATGAAGGAGTTCCTCACCCTATCTCTAAGGCTGAGCCCGACCACCCTACAAAGGAAGCTTATTTCATCCACTTGAATCTGGAATCTCAATCTTTTGATCATGATCCAAACTTCATGACCACATGTGAGGGTTGGATGGACCACTCTATCCAGCTTTGCCTTTCTATTCACTTCTTTCTTAACATAAAGTGATCTTAACACCCTCATTACTGAGGATGAGGCCCCAATTCGTCAATGCAACTCCTGCTCCATCCTACTATCACTCGAACAAAATGCCCAGATACTTGAACTCCACCACCTGAGGCAACGACTCCCCTTGAACCAGAAGAGGCATTCTACCCATTTCTGGTTGAAGTAAACAGTACAGGTCCTTCTAAAAAAATTAGCATGTTGTGATAAAGGTCATTATTTTCCATAATGTAATGATAAAAATGAAACTTTCATATATTTCAGATTCATTGCACACCAACTGAAATATTTCAGGTCTTTAATTGTTTTAATACTGATGATTATGGCATACAGCTCATGAAAACCCAAAATGCCTGTCCCAAAAAATTAGCATATTTCATCCCACCAATGAAAGACAAGTGTTTTTTAATACAAAAAACACCAACCTTCAAATAATCATGTTCAGTTATGCACTCAATACTTGGTCGGGAATCCTTTTGCATGAATGACTGCTTCAATGCGGCGTGGCATGGAGGCAATCAGCCTGTGACACTGCTGAGGTGTTATGGAGGCCCAGGATGCTTCGATAGCGGCCTTAAGCTCATCCAGAGTGTTGGGTCTTGCGTCTCTCAACTTTCTCTTCACAATATCCCACAGGTTCTCTATGGGGTTCAGGTCAGGAGAGTTGACAGGCCAATTGAGCACAGTAATACCATGGTCAGTAAACCATTTACCAGTGGTTTTGGCACTGTGAGCAGGTGCCAGGTCGTGCTGAAAAATGAAATCTTCATCTCCATAAAGCTTTTCAGCAGATGGAAGCATGAAGTGCTCCAAAATCTCCTGATAGCTAGCTGCATTGACCCTGCCCTTGATAAAACACAGTGGACCAACACCAGCAGCTGACATGGCAACCCAGACCGTCACTGACTGTGGGTGCTTCACACTGGACTTGTGGCATTTTGGCATTTCCTTCTCCACAGTCTTCCTCCAGACTCTGGCATCTTGATTTCCAAATGACATGCAAATTTTGCTTTCATCCGAAAAAAGTACTTTGGACCACTGAGCAACAGTCCAGTGCTGCTTCTCTGTAGCCCAGGTCAGGCGCTTCTGCCGCTGTTTCTGGTTCAAAAGTGGCGTGACCTGGGGAATGCGGCACCTGTAGCCCATTTCCTGCACACGCCTGTGCACGGTGGCTCTGGATGTTTCTACTCCAGACTCAGTCCACTGCTTCCGCAGGTCCCCCAAGGTCTGGAATCGGCCCTTCTCCACAATCCTCCTCAGGGTCCGATCACCTCTTCTCGTTGTGCAGCGTTTTCTGCCACACTTTTCCCTTCCCACAGACTTCCCACTGAGGTGTCTTGATACAGCACTCTGGGAACAGCCTATTCGTTCAGCAATTTCTTTCTGTGTCTTACCCTCTTGCTTGAGGGTGTCAATGATGGCCTTCTGGACAGCAGTCAGGTCGGCAGTCTTACCCATGATTGCGGTTTTGAGTAATGAACAAGGCTGGGAGTTTTTAAAAGCCTCAGGAATCTTTTGCAGGTGTTTAGAGTTATATCGTTGATTCAGATGGTTAGGTTAATAGCTTGTTTAGAGAACCTTTTCATGATATGCTAATTTTTTGGGACAGTCATTTTTGGTTTTCATGAGCTGTATGCCATAATCATCAGTATTAAAACAATTAAAGACCTGAAATATTTCAGTTGGTGTGCAATGAATCTGAAATATATGAAAGTTTCATTTTTATCATTACATTATGGAAAATAATGACCTTTATCACAATATGCTAATTTTTTTTAGAAGGACCTGTATTGTTTTAGTGGACCTATAAATAATGTTATTGCTATTTTTTATGCATGGAGGGAGTTCTCATACCTAATATTTTTTCCTGTGGCTTACTCTGTCTGTTTTCTTTCTTTTTACTGTTTTAGTTCCAGGACAGCCCTGACGGAGACCATATCAACAAGCCAAAAACAGATGGTTCATGCTCAGGTGGCAGCAAACCTTCTGCCTCAAGCGGAAGCAGTATCGACCCAAGTGGTACCAGTGTGGCACCCTCCGTGCCATTTCACTCTAAACTCGGTGTGAAGCTGGATCCTCCGAGTTCTTCCTCTGACACCAAACCAGCCAGCTCCGGCTCCCAACTGAATATGGAAGACAGAGTCCCGATTCGCAGCCCCATGGAGACCCTGATGGGGAGTCCACGAACGGTTGGAGATGTAACAACACGAACCACCAGCCACCTCTCTTCGAGTGACCTTCTGAGAGGCCCCAGGCCTTACGTACCATAAGATGTAATGGGGTGAAAAAAATCTTGATTAAAAGAATGAAGAAAGAAAAATAAAACATGGTTTAGTGGGAAGTAATGCTGAGATTTACTATGGTGAGGTTTTTTTTGGGTGGTTATATATATTTTCTTCTTTTGGATTTAGACAAAAATCACCTAAGAACAAAATAAAACAAGATGACTTACTTCTCACAAGAATCAGCAACATTTATTTAAAAATACCTTTATCTCATTTAATGGATTGAAAAAAAAGTAACAGTGATACAATGAAATTAAATAATTCTAAATTATTAATTTGGGTGAATAAATGTGGTTTGTGTGTATTTTGTCTCTGCTGTGCTTCTTCATTTTGTACCTTGTCGCAGAACGAAAAAGGTGAATTGGAAATACCTTCTGTCTGTCTGTCCGTCTATGTGTCCTTTCGTGAATGTTGTGAGCAAGACTTGGAAAAACAAGTGAGGTACCAACTTCCATTTTGATGTGTGGCTGCATCTAAGCATAGGATTTTGATAGTTCAAAATTCAAGATGGCCACCATTTATATGCTATATGTTCCAAGTTGGATAATTTGAGAAACAAGCAATGGGTCATCTTATTTGTTGGTGTGTGGCTACATCTAGGAGTAAGAAAAGTTTTTCTTTCAAAAATTGGGTTGCCATGTCAAAATCCAAAATGGCCACTGTCATATGTCATATATATATATATATATATATATATATATATATATATATATATATATTTATATATATTTATATATATATATATATATATCTCTTATGTTTGGTTGATCTTGTTTCTGTTTTTAAGTGCTTTATCAACAAAGTTGTATGGTATGGTACATTAAGCAGCCACCCCAATAATTTGAGGAAACTTTGCTTTCTACTTTTTATATTGCTTCAAAGTTGTATATAGTAGCATAGTCTCTTAAAATGATTGGGGTGGCCGTTAGGGTGGGCAAAGATTAATCTCTGGTGCCCAAGGCCCCCATTGGCCACCTACTGGCTCTGCCATTGAACCTGGTGGTGAATAAATTTGCTTCCTCCACTCTCCATGATCATCACTCTGTACCACCTCAGACAAGTATATCCATCCATCCATCCATCCATCCATCCATTATTGTTTACCCGTTTCTTCCATTTTGGGTCACAGGGTTGCCAGTGCCCATGTCCAGCAATCACAGTGCAAGGGGTGGGGTACACCCTGGACAGGTCGCAAGTCCATCACAGGGACACACAGAGATAAACGAGACAAACAACCATTCTCTCTCTCACTCACACCTAGGGACAAATTTAGAGTTACCAATCAGCCTAACATGCATGTTTTTGGTATGTGGGAGGAAACCGGTGTGCCCAAAGAAAACCCACACATGCACAGAGAGAACATGCAAACTCCACCCAGAAAGGCCCCTGGACTGGGATTTGAACTGGCAACCTTCTCGCTGAGCGGCAGCAGCTCTACCAGTTGTGCCACCCCAGACAAGTATAAAAAAGGTAAATAAAATAAAAACTACCTATTTCATCTCCACAATGTAACTCGTAGCTAATTGAATATCTTGTACCAAAAACAATAAGGTTTACTTGCATTTCCTGTTCAGTTCCAGTCCAGAATAACTCATCTGGAATACTACAAAATTTACTATTTAAATCCCTAAAAAAAGTGTTTATCACGTGTTTCCCAAGAAATAATTGTCCAGAGCTTAGAAATGAGTGTACTCTCCTGAAGTAGTGGGACTAGATGTTACCCTTTCAAAATTATATTTTATGCAATAAGGAGAGCTGGAGTGGATGGGTTTATTTAGGCAGGGTTTACAAACCGGATTCCAAAAAAGTTAGGGCACTAAACAAATTGTGAATAAAAACTGAATGCAATGATGTGGAGGTGCCAACATCTAATATTTTATTCAGAATAGAACAAATCACAGATCAAAAGTTTAACCTGAGAGAATGTACCATTTTAAGGGAAAAAATCTGTTGTTTCCAAATTTCATGGCGTCAACAAATCCCAAAAAAGTTGGGACAAGTCCATTTTTACCACTGTGTGGCATCCCCCCTTCTTCTTACAACACTCAACAGACGTCTGGGGACAGAGGAGACCAGTTTCTCAAGTTTAGAAATAGGAATGCTCTCCCATTCATGTCTAATACAGGCCTCTAACTGTTCAATCGTCTTAGGCCTTCTTTGTCGCACCTTCCTCTTTATGATGCGCCAAATGTTCTCTATAGGTGAAAGATCTGGACTGCATTCTGGCCATTTCAGTACCAGGATCCTTCTCCTATGCAGCCATGATGTTGTGATTGCTGCAGAATGTGGTCTGGCATTATTGTGTTGAAAAATGCAGGGTCTTCCCTGAAAGACATGTCTAGATGGGAGCATATGTTGTTCTAGAACCTGAACATAGTTCTCTGCATTAATGGAGCCTTTCCAGACATGCAAGCTGCCCATGCCACAAGCGCTCATGTAACCCCATACCATCAGTGATGCAGGATTCTGAACGGAGCGTTGATAACAACTTGGGCTATCCTTGTCCTCTCTGGTCTGGATGACATGGCGTCCCAGTGTTCCATAAAGAACTTCAAATCGTGACTCATCTGACCACAGAACAGTCTTCCATTTTGCCACACTCCATTTTAAATGACCCCTGGCCCAGTGCAAACGTCTGAGCTTGTGGAGCTTGCTTAGAAATGGCTTCCTCTTTGCACTGTAGAGTTTCACCTGGCAACGGCGGATGGCACGTTGGATTGTGTTCACTGACAATGCTTTCTGGAAGTATTCCTGAGCCCATTCTGTTATTTCCTTGACAGTGGCATTCCTGTTTGAGGTGCAGTGACGTTTAAGGGCCCGGAGATCACGAGCATCCAGTAGAGTTTTACGGCCTTGACCCTTACGCACAGCGATTGTTCCAGTTTCTCTGAATCTTTTGATGATGTTATGCACGGTTGATGATGATAACTTAAAAGTCTTTGCTATTTTACGCTGGGAACATCATTCTGGTATTGCTGCACTATCTTTCTGCGCAACAATGGTGGAATTTGTGATCCTCTTACCATCTTGGCTTGTGAGAGACACTGACACTCTGAGAAGTTCTTTTTATACTTATCTTTATACATCATGTTGGCAATTGACCTAATTAGTGTTAATTGGTCTTCCAGCTGTTCGTTATATTCTCAATTTCCTTTTGCCAGCCACTTATTGCTACTTGTCCCAACCTTTTTAGGATTTGTTGACACTGTGAAATTTTGAATCAACATATTTTTCCTTTAAAATGTTACATTTACACAGATTAAACTTTTGATCCGTCATCTATGTTATATTACGAATAAACTATTGACATTTGCTATCTCCACATCATTGCATTCAGTTTTTATTCACAATTTGTTTAGTGTCCCAACTTTTTTGGAATCCAGTTTGTATTTATTGAGGATCAATGGGATTTACTTGTCTAAATAAAAGGTTGAATGAAAAAAAATAGGATAACAAGAGTAATATGCAGCATGTGAACAATCTTTAGTTCTAGGATATTAGATATGATTAGAGATTAGATATGAAAAAAACCTGTTGAAGCAGGCGCACACCTACTGTCAGATATGAGCCTGTGTTTGAGCTCCCAGCTTCTTCTTCTTGTTTTATTGGCGGTTGGCAAACAACTGAAGGAAGCATTACCGCCACCAACTTGTAAGGAGTGTGCACCACAGGACCAAAAAAACCCCTGAAAAAACAAAACAAAACCTCTCTTTCCTTTTTTATCCTATTATACAACCTACACTGTTTTAGAACATAAAATATAGCTTGATAGCCTCTGTTTCCTGAATCTTTCTGCAATAAATCAACAATGTCTAGTTTCATTTTCATTTTACTAAAATGCCTAATCATTTTTTTCTTTGAACATGATATCCCCTGCAATGCAAAATAATGTGTTCTATGGTTTCCTCTTCTCCACACTCACATGTCCCTGTTTGATGTTTCCCTATTAAACATAATGTGCTGTTCAGCCCAGTATGCCCAATTCTGTGTTGTGAAATACTTGTTTCTTCTCTCCTGTTTCTTTCTGTTCTTCTCCTTTCTCCAATTTTCCTTTGGATTTTATAAAACCACCGGCCTTTCCTTTCTTCCTCCCATAATTTTTGCCACTTTTCTTTCATTTTTTATTTTATTATACCCTTTATTTCTGTTATACTAAACCTAACATTAATATCAACCACGTCCCGACCAGTGCTCTCCTTAGCCATCCTGTCTGCCTTTTCATTCCCCAAAACCCCGTGATGTGCTGGAACCCATATAAAGTTTACTGTAATCCCCATCATGTTGATCCTATAGAGTGTTTGTTGTATTTCAATTCATATATCTGGTCTACTATATGACTGGTTGTGTTGCAAACTGGATAATGATGAACTAGAATCTGTGCAGATGATTGGTTTTAATGGTCTTACCTCTTCTACCCACTGAACTGCTGAAAGTAAAGCGAGCATTTCTCCTGTATAAACTGATACTCCGTCACTAACCCTTTTTCCTACTTTAATATGAAATTGTGGTACAATGAACGCTATCCCAATTTTATTAGTTGTATTTTTAGATGCGTCTGTGTATATATGTACATAATTATAATACTGGTTAATGTATTCCTGTACTGTATATTTATCCATAGTAAAAAAATATATTCTTGTTTTTCTTTTCTAATAATGAAAAATCTACTATAGCATCAGGAAGTACCCAAGGTGGTATTGTGGGTAATGGAACTTTCTGACATATAGCTAGTTGATCTAAATGGATTTCATTAACTTTGGCTTTTATCATCCACCCAAAGCTTTTTATTGTTTCCTTTTCCCAACCTGATTTAAGCGCTTCTAATGTTGGATGATCATTTCTTTGACCTTGTAAATTTGTCCAGTAGTTCAAAGATAGCTGTTCCCTTCTAAATTTAAGAGGCATTTCTCCCATTTCAACCTGTAATGCTGCTGTTGAAGACGTTTTAAAAGCACCTGTACATATTCTTAGTGCCTGGTATTGGATATTATTTAACTTATTGAGGTTTGTATCTGCTGCTGAATTGTAACATATGCACCTGTAGTGGAGGTGCAGCAAAGCTGGCCCTGACACCACTACATAGTCCAAGACTGACCTAATTCATCCAGTATAAATGGCTGTCAATGAATTTCTATCAGCTCCCCACTCACTTCCAGCTAAACACCTCATTATATTTAACACTTTCCTATATTTTTCTATTATTTTCTTAATTTGTACACCCCATGTCATTCTTTCATCAAACCACAACCCGAGAAATTTAAATTCTTTAACTCTTTCCAACTCCCGACCGTATAATTTTAGCTTGATTTTCTCATCAACTCTTTTCCTTGTAAAGAACATTATTTTAGTTTTATCTACAGAAAATTTAATTCCCCATTTATATGACCATTTTTCTAGAACTGAAATTGCTCCCTGAAGCTTCTTTATAATAAATTCTAGATTTCTTCCTCTTTTCCACATTGCCCCATCATCAGCAAAAAGTGAAAATCCCATTCCACCCTCTACTTCCTTATACATATCATTAACTATCACTGAAAATAATAATGGACTGACTATACTACCCTGTGGTGTCCCATTTTCTATATTACAACTCTCAGAATAATCCTTCCCTATTCTCACTTGCATTTGTCTTCCTTCTAAAAAAGTCTTAATCCATCTAAACATACGACCATTTATACCCATTCTTCCAATTTTGATTAATAATCCTTCCCTCCACATCATATCATACGCTCGCTCTATATCAAAAAATACTGCCACAAACTCTCTTTATTCACTTGAGCCTTTCTAATTTCATGCTCTAAACATAAAACTGGGTCTATTGTACTTCTCCCTCTCCTGAAACCACTCTGATACTTTGACATAAGTCCTTTATTTTCCATATAGTATATTAATCTTTCATTTATCATTTTCTCCATTATTTTACATATGTTGGATGTTAATGCTATAGGTCTATGATTTTCTGGTTTTGACTCATCTTTCCCTGGTTTTATAATTGGTACAATCACTGCTTCCTTCCAACTTTTTGGAATTTCCCCATCCTCCCATACTCGATTATATAATTCTAATAGAATATTTTTAGATGATCTACTTAAATTACTTACCATCGCATAACAAACCTGATCTTTTCCTGGAGCTGACAATTTATATTTTTTAAGTGCCCTGTTCAGCTCTGTTATTGTAAACAGCATATTCTTTTAATCCCATTCATCCTTTTAATCATTGTCCATACCTTAAAAATGTCTGTCTCCTCCCTACTGAATTACAAAAACTCCTCCAATAATCTCTCTTTGCAGTTTTAATAGTTCTTCTTACATTTGCTTGCAGTTTCTTGTACTCATTCAGATTCTGAAAGTTATGATTTATTTTTAATAATTTGAAAGCTTTATTTTGGTTCTTAATAGCTTTAGTATATTCTGTTGTCCACCATGGTACCAACTTTCTTTCCCTTTTCCCTCCTTTCTTCCTTATAGCATGACTGGCTGCTTCAAGGATACCATTACATATAGAAGAATTAAAATCATCAATACTACCAGTTATATCTGCATTTTTATTTCATTACTATTCCTATATGTTTCCCAATCTGCAGATGTAAAACACAATTTTTCCATCCCATTTATACAATACGTCTCTATTTGCAACTTTATTTCAGTCATGATAGGGTGATGATCACTTCCTATAGTTCTTTTGTTAATTATTTGCCATAAACAAATACCTGCTAGAGAATCTGAAACTAATGTTAAATCAGTTGCTGACATTGTGTTATCTCTAAAATTAATTCTGGTTCCACTCCCATCATTCAAACATACCAAGTTTGTAGCATCCATTATTTCTTCAATTATAGCTCCATTTTGATCATTATGATTACTCCATTCGAGCTCCCAGCTGAAAGAAACGAGCTGTCATCATGGTGAAGGTGGAGGTGTTTGTGGGCGTGGCTCAGCTCTGCCTCCCACTTTAGAGGTGTGGTTCAAACACACTTCCTGGTTCTTTCAGAACAAAACAAGTCAACAGAGCCTGTGGGGATTGGAGAAACACGAACAGAATGGATTTCGATCTGTCATCAGGTCAGTTTTAATCTAGTCTCCTTCAAATGTTGTTTTTGATGTGTTCTGCAGAAAGATCACATTAAAAATAGAACTAACACAAAGCCGTGGTTCCACTTTGAAGACAGGTTTCCCTTTAGATCTTCTGTGATTGTTCTTTACTAAATTAATCTTTATTTTTGTTTAATTTTTCAGCTTTAGATAAAGATGAGGAGGTGAAGCAGGCGGAGGCCCAAAAGGACGAGTTCAGCTTGCCTTGGAGCAAAAACAAGAATAAAGATAAGGACAAGAAGGTAAAGATGTGTGAGAAATATCTGCTGTGGATGGAAGTTATGAGCGTGCTCATGTTGTTAGACTTGTTTATGCAGATTGCAGCATTTGTTTTTGTCCTCTCGTTCCTCAAAAATGGGCTTTACATGGAGCTGTTAGCATGAACTGTGTTTTTTTTTTTTTATGTTTTATTTGTAATTTTTTAGGGTGACAGCAAAGACAAATCCAAGGACAAAGACAAATCCAAGGACAAAGACAAAT